CTAGGCACCAAGCTGCAGGGAAAAGAGACTGGAAGATTTGCCTTTCGTGAGGACTTTGAGGCTTCCTAGCTGTCTTGCAGAGCTGGGAGAGCCATGCTCAAAAGCTCCACTGTTTATTGTAGCCCTCGCTGAGCAAGACTGGATCCCAGGCCCTTTGGAGCAGCCAGAGCAAGAAGATTTACTTCTTGCTTGGCTTTTCAGGCTTGTTTTTTTTTTCAGAAGCAACAGAGCATTTGGGTTGTTTCTACTGAACATTGCAAAGTTCTTGCCTCTTCCCACCCATATAAATTGGAATTTTATTTTGCAAAAATAAGACAAAACGTTTATTCCAACCTTTCTCATGGAACGGAAGTCCCACTTCTGATCATCTCTCCCAAAGAGCCTCCATCCAAATGGAAGATGTTCTTGAATACCCTCTTTTCCTTGATGAGTACAGAGCTTTCCCCATCTGCTATCTGAGCATAGACACGAGCCCAAGCCTTGTGTCAACATGTTCCCAGCCTCCTTTCGTAATATGGAAATGACAGCGGTTGCTGCCTGCGAAGCTGAAATCAAATGAATAAATGAATGTCAACAGACTGTGGGTAGAGGCACAGAGGTTGCATAACAGAGCGGCTACAAGTGCACAGATGCAGTGAAGCCAAATTGGGTGCTGAGTGGATTGTCAGGGCTTGTTTCTGAGGGATGCACCTAGTCATTTCACAAGCGCAGCTGTCAGCCGATGAATTATTCCCGGTGAATTAAGAAACAAAAAATAAAGTCCTCTACCCCTCCAGTACTCTTAATGCAGGCCATTTAGAGGGAATATTTTGTGACATCTCTAGGTAAATCAGATGGTGAATTATTATGGAATGGTTCCTTTTCCCTGCAGGAACAAAGTCTGGAGATACCCTACAAAATCCTTACTATGACAGTGCCAAACTCAATAATTCTCTCAAAAAAAATTATTACCAGCTGCACGTCGGGCATTAACATCACACTAAGAGCATGACTGCATGGATGAGGACTGACAGACCTATGCTTTGTGCCCCATCACTGAGCTGGCTAGATGCAAACTAATTCTGCTCCCGAAGCAGATAGTCACGTTAGCAGGACGACAGCTTACTTGAGAAGCAAGGCCATAATTTTTGCCGCTATATAGTTTTCTGAATGCCAGTGTTTGCACCTATTTGTCTCCCTGTCAGGTGTCTTTCTTGCCTATAAGTCCTTTAACCTGAACTGGAATGTTTTCTTTTTATCCTTCTCTCTTACAGCAGAGGAGGAGACCTATACAAACCAATGCTGCTTTAACAAACATGGCAACAGCTTCTTAAATAAACAGCACACTCATGCACCTCATTCCTCTCAAACAAAAATGCTACTTCAGCTTCTTTGTGCCACTTCCCCTCCAAAACTGCAGCAGCAGCAAAGCAATCGACGAGAGTGTGAAGTAATATCACATACAGCAGACCTGTTTCATTCCGAACAAACACGCAAATAACCTCCAGTTTGAGAAGGAGGAATGCACAAACACTTAGAAGCTAATTACCAAACCCAGGAAGACAAAGGCAGAGTTAAAAGACTCAAAACACCTGAGCAAGCAAAACAGTCTCTTATCCCTCGCTAAAGCAAACACAAAGTTGAATCACATTCACTTTTCAACCCGGCAAGACAGCTGTAATATATTGCCTGCCACAGCGATGATGATTGTTCTTGTGCTCTCCACCTCAGCCTGATACACACTCAGCAGATTCATAACTCTTTCAAGCTCCCCAAGATAAACATGCGGGTGCTTGATAAAGAATTTCAATTATAATGTTCTTGGGAGTGTCCGACATGCTGCCCCCCACACCCAGCACAACGGTGGATTGATTCACACACACACACACACACACACCCCCACCGCAGGGACACGGTCCACAGGTCATGTCCAAAAGGGTTGGAAGTTCCTTGTCGCTTTGGAAGCCTCCTTTCTTCTGTGAGAACGGGTCCCTGACATTCACAACAGCCTATATCATCCTCCAGTGCTCCCATCCCAGGCCCAAAGGGACTGACTGCAGTGGAGTTGTATTGTGTTGGCCACCAGCGCATATGACAGGGTCGACCAAAGGTCTTGTTGCACTCTGACGTCTCTGGCATTTCTGGCAGCCCATCTCTCTTCCCCTTCTTTACACCCAGCGGCTGAGGAGCTCCTGCTCAGCTTGACACCTGCTTCCCATGTCCAAACCCCAGCCTGAGCAATCCTATTCAAAGGCTGAACTGCCACAAATGACATGCTTTGTCGGAAAAAAGAAAAACACCCTCACCCCAAAAAGTCAAGCGGTTTAGAAAAGCAATGTCCCCTTCACCCCTGGGCCACAGGGGACTCTGACAACCAGCCATTATCAGAAGAGACTGCTGAGGTGGGAAGGGCACCCCACTGTTAAGAGCTGCTGCTTGCAGGTACAGCTAAGGGCTGCCAAGGGCCAGGAGCACACAGGAGAGCAGACTGTCTTTAGGGAAGGGCAGGTAATCTGATGGATTCAAATCTTGATTGAAGGAACCCATTAGATTCACTCGTTCAATGGTGGAAAAACACCCGACAGCCTTTGGCCATGTTTAGCATGCAGGAAATTCTGGGAGAGGGGGACTGGGGACTGCATATATGCGCGCATGCAAATACATTGTCTAGTTTTTAAGACAGCAACCAGCACATTTAGAAGTGAGAATATTCTCAGGACTGCCACTTCTATTGCTGCCAAATCCATCTGCCCTTGTACAAAATGCAGCAGATGAACAACTCTTCTCCAGCCTCTGTAGCAGCCGCCACATTCGTCCTGAGCTGAACCACACATTGCAGCTGGCTGGGAGTGCAGCGAGCTTGGCATCCTCAGCTATTGGATGGCCATTGCTTGGCTCTCAGCTGGAAGATCTGCAAGCGCTCCTGCTCAGCTCAGCACCAGTTGCTCTGCAGGGCCCAGATTTGGAAAGCTGTGGCAGCTTCACCATCAGTTCTCTGAGTCAGTGCCACCATCGCCAGCACCCTCGCTCTGCCCTGATCGCCCCTGCGAACATACGTGCTGCAGGGTTGGTGCCAGTGAATCCTCCCCGACACAGTGTGGGTTACTCGGAGGGACTCTGCCAAGTCGAAGTCCCTGCTGTACCCAGGGGATTAGCCAGAGACCCTGCTGAGCACAGTTGGGCTGATCGAATACTAAGCCTGAGAGCCCATTTCAGCAACATCCAGCAGATCAGGGATGGTTCAAATATTCCTGGTGAAATATTCTGCCTTTCACAAAGGATAATAGCTTCTGCAGGCTGTGAAGCATGACAGATGCATCTTGCATCCTTTACACAACAGTACTGGCTGATATACTGCCTTCATTTCATCGCTCAACTCGGCCAAAACCAAGGAAGACACTTGGATCGCTCTCTTCTCCTGTTTACTGCCTCCTCCTCCTCCCTACATCCTACTATTGTCAAGATATTCTAGAAGTCCAACATTTTTTCCTGGATGATAGGAATAAAAACAAACTGGAGTCTTCAGACCATTTGATTTTATGTCCTTGAGATCAGAACTTAACGCAACGAATGGCGAGAAGGACATTCACCAGACAGTGAATACAGCAATCTCATTTAGGTGCCGCTCATCCCACCCCACCAACCTCCTGACCGACACGTCTGGGGTGAGGTAACGTGATTATCCTCCCTTCTGAAAACACAATCTCAAATTATTAATCATTAGAGAAAGCGCAAAATAAAAAAAAGACTGCCCCATAAAAAAAAGAGCAGGTACATTCACACTAGCCTTGGACCCAAAGTCTATGTGCCCTCCAACCTTTTCTTACAATAAGCAAGCATTATGGGGGGCACCTGTTTTGGGTGTTTCTCAGAGGCATGTTGGGGAAAAGCCTCCCCTCCCACTGACTTATTTTGTGTTTCTGAATAATAAAAAAAGAAAGAAATCTCTCACCTTGTCAGTATTGATCCTGATTGTTACGTCCATTTGTCAGGGCTAATACATTGCTGCAGTGTCAGCTTGTAAGGATTTACGCTTCCCTGTAAAGATGGGTTCATTTCAGAAGCCCAAGGAACTTTAGTTACTAGACTTTGGTCTGTCCTTTAAAATTTATTTTAGTATGAAAAAAGCTGTAATTGGCTGTAGGGAGTAACATGCCACACGTGGTGACATGGGGCAGTTTTCCATGAGGGGATACTGGTAGTGAGACAGACTGGTAAGACAACGTGATCAGAAAACAAGGAGCAGCAAATGACACAAGGACTGCTTCCAGCAGCCAGGCTGGTCCTGTCTTCTCCCCCTTTCAGAACATCCCCTCTAGCCCATAAGTCCCACTGAAATTGGGTCCCCTTTCAGAACATCCCCTGGGACCCTCTAGCCCATAAGTCCCACTGAAATTGGGTTGCCTCCATCGCTGGTGGCAACAGCCCTGAGGCCGACCCTTCCCGCTGTGATGGTGAACCTCACTGCCCCCCAGCCTGACTGCCAGCAGCCAAACTTCGACAAGGAATTGCTGCTTCTTTAGCACAAGGTGTTTCATCTCCTCTAATGCCAATGTGCTGGCACCGAGCATCCAGTTTAGGGTTCGGTCCTTTGCCAACAACGCTCTTGCTCAAGCAAAACAGCCACCAAAGGGAGGCAAGCAGCTGCGTGCTGATGTGCACATGATTTCGTATGGGGAAGAATATCTGCTCTGTTTTCTCTTCAGTAAGAGCAGATGAGGTGTCTGACAGGCAGACTCGTATTTAACCCAGTGCAAGTGTCCCTCCCCACACATCTTGTCCCCTCACACTGTCCTTGTCAATAAGAAAGCCTTTGGCTGCCTCTCCAGCAGAGGACCATGAAACCCTCCCTTGTCCATGAGCTCTGCTGCAGTCCAGGTCTCCTGCCCTAAAGGGTGAATGTTGTTCATACGACAGACCTTTCTGGTCCTTCCCAGCCATGCCTTCTAGATCAGTCTCCCACCGGTTCTCACAGTGTCTGCAGATACTTGGCCCCTGCTTTCCTCATCCCTCGCTATGTCTTACTCCACTGCCTCTGCAGAGTCACTCTGATTTACTCCACGGTCTGCAAGAGGAAGATCAGGCTCACCGACTCCACCAGAAATCTCGTACCAGCCCTGAAAACTGACAGCAGCCAGAGGCAGCTCCAGGCTAATGTCACAGCCGCAGCTGCAGCACATGGCAGGTAGAGTCTGACCTAGTTTTAACCCTGCTAAATATGCAAAGAAAGAAAATGAGAATGTGCAGGGAAAAGCAGTCCAAGGTTTTCTCTATTTCCGCAGTATTTCTTTGCTGCTTTACCTTTTATATTCATACTACACTAAAACATTTCCACTGTCAGGTCGTCTTATGGGTGTACCCAGAGAGGAAAAACACAGTAACACTTGAAGGATGGGCTGTTGGGTTGTTTTTTCCTGGGTTTTGGTTTTGGGAGCTTGTGTTGGTTTGGGCTTTTTTTTTAAAAAAAAAAAAAAAAAAACGTCTAGGGGGGGAGATATTTTTGAAAGGTTAATATTTTGAAAAAAAAAAAAAGAAAAAAAAAAGAAAATTGTTGTCCTTTGAGTGGAAATCTCTCTTCAGCTGTTTACCTTTCCATTTTGCTTGTTTTTTGCAGTCTTTTTGTTCTTAACTTAGTCATTGAGAGCTAAATGCTACCCTGACTATCATTCTGACAAGACTTTTTTTTGTTGTTGTTGTTTTATTTTTAAGAAAATGGATTTAAGAAAATGGCTTTATCTTTGTTCCAACACCTGCCTTTCCCTTAGCCTTTCTGGTTCACTTCCACCATAGAAAATACTCAAACTTCAGCTTCTCTTCTTGATTCTTAATTAACTCTAGATTATTTGTGTGGTACATAACTACTTCATCGCTATGGAAACACTATTTTATTTGAATCACCCACACAGTTCTGTATACTTGTTTTTTGGCACCTTCATTTCAATACAAAACCGTGCTCACCGACAGTGCAGAGGGCTTTACCAAGGGTACGTGTGGCACAGCATCCAGGTCTGTGTCCTTCAGTTAGCACTGAGCCCCCTCAGCCAGGATCTGCTGACGCCCAAGATGTAAATGTGTCCTACGAGCCTGAGTACAGTCCTGAGGTTGAGCTATGAAATACCATCATGGCAAGACTGGGAACGCTGCCCAGTATAGGGAACGTAAGAACCTGTAGCAAAAAGAATAGAAACCTTTTAAATATTTGCTACCAGCAATCATGAGAGAGATGCTGCTCTTATCCAACACAGATGAATGGATATCCCCAGTGCAGAGCCAGTTTCCATCCTGGAGAACACGAGCACCGCAGAGTAGATCAAGGGGAGAAACACGGGGAAGACATCACAAAGGGGAGCCTCCTGGGGAGGGAGAGGACGGTAACGGGACACAAAGATACAACCATGTTTTGAATGTGTTCATAGTGCACAAGGGGCATTGCCTCTTGGTAGCACGTGTGGAACAAGTCTCAGACGTGGAGATCCTTGTCGGAGTGGTTAAAAAAAAAAAAAAAAAAAAGCCAAGGACAGGAAACCATGAAAACCATTCATCAGTAGTCTGCCAGTGGGGTTGTTTCTGGCATAGGTTAAGACAATGGTGGTTGTTACGACTCCTGACCTTGCTCAGGAAGGCTCTTAATTAACTGATTACGTCCCTCGACTTCTACAGGACTCAGACATATGCTTGTATGGTTTCCTCAGCAAGGCTTTTTTTCTGAATCAGGATCTCCATGATTACAGTCAAGTAATTATTTGAAAAGCATTTTCATCTGGGCTCCAAGCAATCAAATTAAATACAATTAATGTGGTTTTGGCAGGACTCCACACACAAAAAAAGTTGTTCTTTTTTTGTGCAAAATTGGAAAATCAGTATTTGCTAGTAGCCTGATGTATGAAATCCCCTGGTGCAGCTTTCACTGTTTTCCCAAGTTTTCCTTTTGCTGCAAAACTGTTGATGCAATTCTGTTCTGATAAATGAAACACCAAATCTCACAACATCCTGCCTTTAGTACAAGACCTTGTAGGAACCAGAGACTGAGAAAGAATGAATTGCTATGGTTTGCAGTAAAAGTTGATAAAGACAAAGAGCATGCTGAAAATAAAGGAATCAACTGTATGCCACTTCATCAAAAGAGATACAGCAAGACAATGATATAAATCACGAGGCTTTAGCAGCTATAGGAGATTTCAGGTGGGAAGGCAAACTGAATAACAAAGCAGAAAAAACATACCTATAAAAAAATACTGAAAACCAAACCTCATTTTGGACAGAAGTGCAAACATGCATACAGCCACTTTTAATGAAGCTCACAACAACAGTCTATTTGTCTCTTCTCAGTACTTTGCTATGAAATTCACTTGGCTTTTCCTCTGAACAGCTATCCTTATGGATCATTTTTCACAATGAAGCAGAGTGTAAAGCACATCTAAACCTGAAGGCAGTGTGTGTCTATTTTTGGCTCACTGAATTAGAGTGCATCTTTTTTATAGAAGAAATTTTGATGCAAAAATCATGAGACTTCATGGCTGTAAAAGACATGTCAGTCACAGAAAGGATAAATAATTTGGAAATGTCATGAAGCTGTGTTAGAAGAAGGATCTATCTTTATTAAATCATAATTGGAATAAGAAGAGTCAGGCTGATGAATGAAATCTTTCGTAAGCAGAGGGGTATGAATTTTTGCAATATGCTAAAGCAATGCAACAGCAGAAGCAATGATCGTAAATATTAATATTAGTTACAAACCAAGATTAATCTCTAAGACAGGCATAATTTCAGGGTAAAATATTTGAGCTGATGCAATATCATAGGGGATGGCAGTGATCATTGCTCTGCTTTCAACAAAAGGAAGCAGTGCTCTTTACTTGGAGGTCTTCAGGGATGAAAACTCACTCCCTTCTGGCTCTGGGATGCCCCAGAGCTGCACAGAGGCACCCAGGAGTAATGCAGCACTGTGTCACCACCAGTGCTGGAATAAAGGCAGTCATGCTGCCTCCAAGCCCCAGATGCTCCAGCTTTATGGGCAGCTGGAAGGCACCAGCCAGTGGGACACTGATGTACCCTGCAGATATGGGTCCCTCATGCAGGTTTGTTCTGGGCTCTGGCACAGGCTGTAGATAATCAAAATCGGGTGTGTTGTCATGTTAAGCACTTCAGACCTGTTTATAGTTCACATATTTTTGCATTGTTATTGCACAATTAAGCTGAAGACTTCCAGACGAAGCTGTCCCAAAAGCACAAGGAAATTCAGCATTGGTTAATTTCCAATCCTGTCAATTGGTCAGTGGAAAAAAAGAAACTCTTTGGGCCAATGCATGCCATGCATGTTAGGAAGGTACAGTTAGCACTTCTTTTACTAAGAATTAAACCTTAGGGTAGCAAATGTATATTAAGTGACATCAAGTATCACTTGTACAAAACGGTACTTTCCAAGGACCACTGAAGAACTGATTTAGACTTTTTTTCTGAGGCTCCAGCACGAAGATTTCTTTTTGACATCCCCAGCATTTTGTCTAAAAACACCTGTCTCATCAAGTTATCCTTGCAAACAGAGAAGGAACTAGAGAAGGAAAACAGATGTCTGATGCATCCTCAACAAGAATATAGGAAAGCCTGACAAGAAAACATATGCCACGTATTTTTTTATGGTCTTTTCTTTCCGTTACTGTTATTAATACCATGAAAATAATGTGCACAGGGATCTTTAACCATCTTCTAACCATTCAGTAAATCATTTCATAGAATAATGAATTCAATACTGTGAAACAGCCACACAAATTTTACGACTTCTTTTAGTTTTTATGTCACATCTGGAAACCCATAGCACATGGTACTTTGGTTCACCTTCAGAGAGTGATTCTCGGCTTTGTCTGAAGATGCCCTCTCCTCAGCTCCATGCGCGTGGTTAGGACCTCTGTTTCCACTGAGGAGCAGGAGCAGGACATGCTGATCATGTCTGCTGCTGCACTGTACAGCAGAGAAACTGCCTCGTGTTCTTGGAAGCGAGCCCTGTGTTACACAACTGCAGTTCAAAGGTTGCAAAGGCAAAGGCTTTGCCAACAGACTCAGCACTTCAAAGCAGTGGCAACAATCGTTGGATCAAACAGAGAGGAAAGAAGTTGCCTGTGGGTCCCCAAAGCAAACTGGAGTCTCAGAAGCAAAAACAGGATCCAGAAGAATCTTACTGAGAAACAATGAGGAAAAAACTGCTCATTTATGTGGAACAAAAGCCTGAGTCCTCAAGAAACTCTCCAAGTTGCTTCCACATCCAATCAATATTTTCTCTAGCACATATGGAATGAGCCTCAGCCAACTTCCTCCCCCAGACATTCCTGTTTCTGACTATCCTTAGAAAGAAGCAAGACAGCTAATTCAATGAATCTCATTCATACTTATGGGAGTCACCAGGCTTGGAGGGACAGTCTCACCATCCCGTTTTCCTGACTCAATAAATTGCTGCAGATAAGCTCAGCCACAGATACATTCATATAGCAGATGCAAGGTAATGTCACACAAGCTCAGCCTTCTAATGACAGACAGAAAATCTGAAGACTGAAATTTCTGACAAGCGCAAAGGAAAGGAAATTTAAGACTGGTCATAGATGACACAGCGGTGGAGATGAAGCCTGGTCTACAAAAGCCACATAAGCAAGGTGGAATTCCCATTCCATACAAGCCTGACTCTTTCTTACAGTCAGCACCAAAGTCACATCAGCTTAAGAACAGACCAAACAACCTTGGCTGAAGCACAATGCCAGCAATTTGGATTTGCTTGAGTAGGACCAAAGTAAGTGCTCAGCTGAAATATTTCTCCGCAGATAATTTTCTACTCTTCTATCCCTCCTGCTGCAGCAAACCTCCTCAAAATTTCTCTTTTAAGAAACTATTTGCTGCAAAATTAAAGCTAATGAGACCTCTTGAAGAGATGAAACTGCCTCCATTTCAGCTTCAACGTCTTGAGGCTCAGACTATTCTTTGAAACCAAAGATTTTCAATTCATATGCTGCCAAAGGAGATTTGCTGAGGATAACAGCCTCTTCACCTGCCCAGTCAGCAACGTAGATGGTGGGTGTTTATCTCTGCTGCTTCAATGAAAGACACATCATTTTAGCTCACATTATCACTTAAATGGATTTATGCAGAGATGTTTGTCTTTGAAGTGGAAGGGCCAAGCCATG